GGCACTACATACCTGTCTATCAATGACCACCTTAAATGTAAATAATTTAAATGCTCCAACCAAAAGACAGAGGGTAGCTGAATGGATAAAAATACCAGATACATATGCTGCTACCAAGAGACCCATCTGAGATAGAAATATACAAACCGACTAAAAGTAAAGGGTTTGAATAAGATATTTCTTGTAAATGGAAAAGAAAAAAAAAAGCCAGGGTAGCAGTACCTATATCTGACAAAATAGACATTAAAACCAAGTCTATAGTAATAGACAAAGAAGGACACTACATAATGATAAAGGGAACAATCCAACAAGATGATATAACCCTAGTAAACATTTTCACATCCAACATTGGAGCACCTAAATATGTAAGGCAAATCTTGATGGGCATAAAGGGAGAGACTGACAGAAATATAGTCATAATTGGGGATTTTAACATCCCATTGACTTCAATGGATTGATCTTCCAGAGAGAAAATCAACAAGGAGACAGCAGCCTTTATAACACACTAGATTAAATTGATTTAACAGATATCTTTAGAGCATTTCACCCCAAAGCAGTATAATATACATACTTTTCAAGTGTACTTGGAACATTTTTTAGGATAGACCACATTCTAGGACAAAAAACAAGTCTCAATAAATTTAAGAAGATTGAAATCATATCAACCATCTTCTCTGACCACATTGCTATGAAACCAGAAATCAATCACAAGAAGAACACTGAAAAACACACAGAGACATGGAAGGTAAATAACATGTTATTAAACAATGAATGGGTTAACAATGAAATAAAAGAAGAAATCAAAAGATACCTTGAAACAAATGAAAATGAGGACACAGCAATCCAAAATCTGGGGGAACATAAGGAAAGCAATCCTAAGAGGGAAATTCATAGCATTACAGGCCTATCTCAAAAACCAAGAAAAACCTCAAATAATCTAATTTCACACTTAAAGGAACTTGAAAAAGAACAACACACAAAGCCCAAAGTGTGTAGAAAGAAGGAGATAATAAAGATTAGAGCAGAAATAAACAAAATAGAGTCTAAAAAACAACACAAAAGATCAGTGAATCCAAGAGCTGGTTCTTTGAAAAGATAACAAGATTGACAAACCTTTAACCAGACTCATCAAGAAAAAGAGAAAGGACCCAAAAAAAATAAAACGAGACATGAAAGAGGAGAAATAACACCCAATATCAAAGAAATACAAAGGAGTGTAGAAAAACATTATGAGCAATTAAATGCCAACAAACTTGAAAACCTGGATGAAATGGATAAGTTTCTAGAAATATACAATCTCCCAAAAGTAAATAAGAATCAGAGAATCAGAATCTGATTACATCTAATGAAATTGAAGCAGTAATAAAAAGAAGTCCCAACAAACAAAAGCCTTGGACCAGATGACTTCACCAGGAAATTTTACTAAACATTCCGAAAAGAACTAACACCTCTTCTTCTCAAACCATTTCATAAAATTCAAGAGGAGGGAAGCCTCCCAAACTCATTTTATGAGGCCTGCATTATTCTAATTCCAAAACCAGATAAAGACACTACAAAGAAAGAAAATTATAGGCCAATATCATTGATGAACATAGGTACTAAAATCCTCCACAAAATATTAGCCAATTGAATACAGCAGTGCATCAAAAAATCATACACCCCAATCAAGTGGGATTTATTCTGGGAATGCAAGGATGGTACAACATGTGCAAATCAATAAATGTGATTCACCATGTAAGCAAAATGTAGGATAAAAACCACATGATCATATCAACTGATGCAGAAAAAACTTTTGATAAAATCTAGCACCGATTTATGACAGAAACTCTCAGCAAAGTGGGAATAGAGAGAATATACCTAAACATAATAAAGGCCATATGTAACAAACTCACTGCCACTTTCAAATTGAATGAGCAAAAACTACAAGCATTCCTGTTAAGATCAGAAAGAAGACTGATGTTTGCTTTCATTTCTCTTATTTAATATAGTATCGGAAGTTCTAGCCAAAGTAATCAGACAACAAGAAGAAATAACAAGGCATCCAAATTGGAAAGGAAGAAGTAAAACTGTCTTTATATGCAGATGACATGCTACTATACATGGAGAATCCCAAAGATTGCAACAAGAAACTACTAGATCTGATAAATGAATTCAACAAAGTAGCAAGATACAAAACGAATATCCAGAAATGAATTGTAATTTTATATGCCAATAATCAAGTAACAGAAATGGTAATTAAGAAAACAATGCCATTAACAATTGCTACAAAAATAATAAAATACCTAGGAATAAACCTAACCAAGAATGTAAAAGGCAGGTACTTGGGAAATTATAAGATGCTGAACAAAGAAATTGAAGATACAGTTAAGTGGAAGCACATACCATGTTCATAGATAGGAAAAATTAAAATCATTAAAATGTTCATACTACCAAAAGCAATTTATAGATTCAGTGCAATTCCTATCAAGATTCCAATGATGTATTTCACAGAACTAGAACAAATATTTAAAAATTTTATATGGAACCGCAAATGGCCCTGCATAGCAACAGTGATCCTGAGAAAGAAGAAGAAAGTTGGAGGAATCATGCTACCTAATGTCAAACTATATACAAGGCCATAGTAATCAAAACAGCCTGGTACTGGCATAAAAAACAGACACATACATCAATGGAACAGAATAGAGAGCTTAGAAATAAACTCACACCTTTAGAGTCAATTAGTATTTGATAGAGGAAGCAAGCACATATAGTGGGCTACCAGTAGGTCATTCAAGAAATGATTTTGGGAAAATTGGACAGATACATGCAGAAAAATCAAATTAGACCATCCTCTTATCCCACACACGAGTAAATTCAAAATGGATTGATGACTTAAATGTTAGACCATAAACAATAAAAATCGTAGAAGAAAACAGGCAGCAAAATTTCAGACATTGCTTGTAGAAATTTTTTATCAGATATATCTTCTGAGGCAAGGGAAACAAAAGAAAAAAAACAAATAGGAATTCATCAAACTAAAAGGTTTTTGCACAGCAAGGAAATGATCAACAGATTAAAAATTAAAACTATAAAATCGGAGAACATATTTGCTGGTACATCGGATAAGGGGTTAATACCCAAAATTTATAAAGTATTTATAAAACTCAATGCCAAAACAAACAAACAAACAATCCAATTAAAAAATGGTCATAGGACCTGAAGAGACACTTCTTCAAAGAGGACATCCAGAGGGCCTATAGACATATGAAAAAATGGTCAATGTCAGTGATTATCAGAGAAATGCACATTAAAACCACAATGAGATACCCTCTTACACCTTACAGAATGGCTATAATCAATAAATAAAAAATAGCAAGTGCTGGTGAGGATGTGGAGAAAGGGGAACTCTTTTGCTTTGTTGATGGGGATACAGATTGGTGTAGCCACTGTGCAAAGCAGTATAGAGATACCTCAAAAAATTAAAAAATGGTTCTGCCTTTTGACCCAGTGTCCCCACTTCTGGGAGTATACCTGAAGGAACCCAAAACATTAATTCGAAAGAACCCAAGTACCCCTGTGTTCATGGCATCATTATTTACAATTGCTAAGATATGGAAGCAGCCCAAGTGTCCATCAATAGATGAGTGGATAAAAGAACTATGAGACATCTACCCAATGGAATTCTACTCATCTATAAAAAAGAAGAAAATTTTACCCTTTGCAACAGTATGGATGGACCTGGAGGACATTATGCTAAATGAAGTAAGCCAGTTAGAGAGAGACAAATACCACATGATTTTACTCATATGTGGAAATTAATGAACAAGCTGAATTAACAAAACAGAGACAGACTCATAGACGGAGAACAGGTGTCAGCTAGTGTGGGTGGGGAGGTTAGCGGGTGGAGAGACTGAGCACAGGGAAAAAGGACTCGTGGGCGTGGACAACAGTGTGGTGGTTGCTGGGGGCAGGGAGGTATTAGAGGACTAAATGGCAATGGAAAAAATATAATAATGATTACATTAAAAATTAAAAAAATGGCTGAGCCAAGGGCTAACATTAAATTGGTTGACGTTAGTTAAATTGTTTTTTCAAACCAAATTGAAGCAATAGGACCAAGTGGAACATCCTGTTTTTGTGAACCGTCACTGGATGAAAGAAGTAGAAATTCCAATGGTGGTTTTCTGTGGTCTTTGAAGACTCAAAGTAGAGCAAGGACAGTGGGATCAGGTGTGTAGAATATGTGGAAGGCCTCAGCCCCACCCTCCTAGTTTCTCCAGACTCTTTCCTGCAACCCCACAGTTCAGATACTCCTCTAGCTGAATGAAGTTGTGAAGGCTAATTTATTGCAAATATTCCTGGGAACCAGTAAAACTAAGGTTCTTGTTAGTAATGTTCATCTTAGCATGATAAAAGTTTTTCCAGATTAAGGGGAAGAAGAAGAAGGAGAAGGATTAAGAGTTTGGGGAGCAAAAGGGATAGACTGAGTGAGTCCTAAAGGGAACCCACTGAATGGATAAGGACACTGGAGCAGTGGAGAATAGCAAGGACTTGGAAGTCCATGAAGAAGTTATCTCCCAATTGATTGGAGAGTAACAGGCTATTTTTTTATTTCTGAATCTCACTGCTCTTTTACCAACAGGTGGTGATGTTTTTTTCTCTCAGTAGATTTGTGTAGAGTAGGGAAGGATACAAAACTTCATCTCCTTTCCCAGAATGAGAGGGAGAAGACCTGGGACTTATGATCCACATTACTGAAGGGGGAGGGCTTTGTTCTGGCCTGAATGGAGTCAAAAGTTAAAATAAATAGAGCAATAAAGAAACCACGTGTTCACATGAACCCAAGTGTGAGTCATGAAATGAGAGCACAGCAAAAGGAACATGCAGGGAAGTAACGAGAAGCGTCTGGGCATGCTCAGCAGGTTTTTGGTGGTTTTCTGTCCATAGGAACAGGACCGGTGGAAAGTTAGGCAACTGCAATGTAGGATGAGTAGCAGCTGTTTTGGTAGGGTCTCACTTACCTGGGGAATATTTCAGAAGAGCTGATCCTCTTCCACCTGAAAAAATACTCCAAATTATTGGACTTTTTCATTAAGGCACTTCCATTTCTGAACTCTAGCTAAAAAGGAATGTTCCCTCCTGGGGAAAATAAAAACACCAGGAATTTCCTTCTAAAATGTCAGACAGAATCTGGGGCTGAAAAGTCAGAGAGACCTCCAACTGATTTTGGGTTAACTTCTCCTGAACTTATTTTGTTATTATACATCAATCACTCAGCTTTTTTGTGCAATATTTGGAACCTGAAAATCTGAGAAGTGAGAAAAGTGTCCTACTGTTGCAGAATGAGATGCTGTATCTAAAAAGGGACTGTGTGCTCAGAAGTAGCATTCTTTCGAAAGAACTCAATATAACTTAATTAAGTTCAAACCTTCCTTAAATCATATTATTTATTTTAAAAAGAAACAGAGGGATTTCCTTCCAAAGCATACCACATGGAAAGGGGGATTAAAAAAGAGTAAATTTACAGTGGAGAAGACCGATAACCATACTGCAGCCAGTTGGTCAAGGACCACATCAGCACCGATAAATCACATTGATAGTATGTATCCATGATATCATGCTGTGACAATGGTACATTACCTTGGGGTCTTCCTCCCAATAGCCCGCAACCTCAATCTAATCATGAGGGGAAAAAAATCAGGCAAATTCTAACAGAGGAGCATCCTGCAAAAATTCTAAGCAGTGCTCCTTAAAATTCTCAAGGTCATCAAAAACAAATGATGGGCAGTGAAAAACTGCCTAAATGAGCCAAAGGAAGCATAACTAAACGTAACGTGTTATTCTGAACGGAACCCTGGAACAGAAAAAGGATAGTAGGTAAAAACTAAGGAAATCAGGTCAATGATGTCATGGCATGTATTAGCTGAATTCAAATCGATGTCAATTGTAAAAAAAATAAATAAAAATAAAATGAAAAATACCTAAGGAAATCTGAGTAAAGTATTGGCTTTACTTAATGATAGTATATCAAGATTTGTTCACTAATTGTAACACATGTCATACTAATATAAGAATGGGATACAGGGTACATGGGAACTCTCTGTAGTATTTTCTCCATTTTTTCCTCTGTAAATCTAAAACTATTCTAAACAATAAACTCTATTAAATTTGTCTGAAGGCAAAAAATTGGGAAGAGATTTAAAGGTCCAGAGTTATCCCCATTTCAAACTCTAGTGAACTTTTCTTATGTTGTTCTGACCTTCTGGAAAACTTTTCTTAAAAACTCTTAACAGAGTTCAATAATACCCTGCCATGAAGGACTGGTTTTCAAACATTTTTAAACACAGCAGAGAGCAAAAGTACATTGCACATTGAGAAGCAAGTTACACACGCACACATAGCCACATAACCAAAAATAAATGTCTCAGAATAATACTCTGAGGTACATGCTGATAGTGTCTTTTCTACTTGTTTGAATTGTTTCTACTGTATTCTATGTTATTCTCTTTGTTCATTAAAAAATACCTCCATCGTGAGATACCACATCAATTTTTTAATTTACCAGTTTCAATCTGTAGTTAGAAAACCTTACTTTAAGGCTTAACTCAAATGTGTCTGCACTGCCCAGTATGGCGCCCCTACTCACATGTGGCTTACGGCTACCACGTGTGATAGTGTGGTTATAGAGTACTTCCATCAATGCACAAATGTTGTCTGGCAGTGCTGTGGACTCTCTCTTTGCTTGGACGGATGAAATGGCCTGCCAACCTGTCTCTTTTTTACGTTACAATCTCTCATGTTGCTGCTGGAATTAACTTTCTAAAGTTACAGACACTTCTGTTCTTGAAACCCTTAAGTGGCTCTCCATTTCCTATGAAATAAAACATTCATTCATTCATTCATTCACTCATTCATGGTTCGATTTCTCTACCTCTCCAGCATCATTTCTGAACTCTCCTGCTTAATGTCATTCACTCTTAAGCTTCCATGTTTTCATTTTTTTCTTTTCTAGAAATGTTTTTTGTCCCCCTTTCTCTTCCAGATAAAATCCTTAAAATACTTTTAAGACCTAGCTCCTATATTTTCCTTTCCGGAAACATTCTCAGGAGACCACCCTTCCTAAGGAAAATATATTGCTCTCTTTAATGTGTTACCATGGCAGCACTGTTTCAGAACTTACCCTGTGTTACATTTAGCTGTGCACGATCGGTTTCTCCTCTAAGTTATGAGGCCGTGGACTACTGGGGACATGCCACAGTCGTCTCTCTATCCCGAGTGCTCGGTGTGAGTGCGGCCCGGTGAGCTGACCGGCTGGCGGACTGAATTTTTGGGTTGTTGAAGGCAGGGACTGCACTTGCACTTATTTTTTGTTTTCATAGTACAATGTGAGGCACGTAAAAGGTGCCTATGAATTATTTTTCTCTGCTTTTAGACAATTCGTTCTAGATTGTTTTCGGCAAATCCAGTTACAATTTTTCTTTTTGTAGGATGAAAGGGAAATGGTACTAAGTCATTTTTTTTAATATAACAAATGCTTTTCTACTTTCTCACACTGTGAAAAGTTCATGGACTCCGCGGGGAATTAAGGAAATAAAACATTTGTATAGTGGTTTTAAATTCTATTAAAATGGCTTTTACCAGTGCTTACTCTGCATGGGTAATAATTTAAGACTGGTGGGTAGAAAAGTGGTTCCAATGGGAAAAAATTCCAGGATGGGAATAAGACCTGAATTCTACTGAAGCCTTTTTTTCTTATTCTTTCTTTTCCTTACTTTCTCCCCTGCCCCTTACTTTTCTCTTCTCTTTACTTTTTCTCTTTATTTCTGTTCATTCATTCACTCATTCATTCATTCATTATACTTTGTGTCCCCGGGCAAGTTCCAAATCTTTCTGTGTCACAGCTTTCCTGTGTAAGATGAAGGTAATTGATAATTGCCTCCTAGTCTGTCTCAGTGATGTGGTAAGAAGTGTAGGGATAGGTTTTTGAGCTCTTTGGAAGTAATAGTAATAGTAATAGTGTTTATTGTTGTTTCTCATGAGTCAGTACAACTTTAAACTATTTTCAAGACTTTACTAAATTATAAAGTAAAAAAGTCTTTGTGGACTATTCTATATTGGTTACTTCAATAATGGAGTGCTTTGTATGTTTTATAGGAAAAAAAGACTTAGCCCTTTTTTATGTGTGCTAATTGAATTGCCTAGTACAGCAAAAACAAAAACAAAAACACAACAGTGCATATATATAGCCATTACCACAGACACTACTTGTAAGGCCCTACAATCTCTGAACAAATTTTCAAATACGCCTCGGACAGGGTCACCAGCTAGCACTTGTGGGCTGTGTACTGCACAGTTGTATGTGATGGTTCTTGTCTTACAACTAATTGTAAGCTGCTTCTTTATTGTGAATCAGCTCATATGATTAATGGCAAAACCTCCTGTATCTATGTAAGAACTGGGCACAATATAAGTTTATTGGCTTCAGAGTTTCCAGATATCTTGCTCTAAGTTTTCTGTGAGTGACTACAATATTTTCTGGGCCCCTAAAATGTTCCATCCTTGTTTAACATTTTCCTGGAAATTTTCTTTCCATCTTAGCATACTCTTCAGCCATCCTTTGGTAAGCAATTTGTCATGCTGATATAGGGTGAAATTAGAAGTCAGACCAGAAGTGATGGTTTCAGAGTCCACATCTTTAGGGGGAGCTAAGAAAGCCAACTTAAAAAGTTTATAGTGAGGACTTTGGGCTAAGATGGAGGCATACATAGACACACTGTACCTCCTTGCACAACCAAAATAAAGACAACAATTTAGAAACAAAAAATCAACCAGAACTGACAGAAAATTGAACTGTATGGAAGTCTGACAACCAAGGAGTTAAAGAAGACACATCCAGACCAGTAGGAGGGGTGGTCAGGCAACAGTGCAGAGGGGTCATGGCAAGGGGTGGCTGGCAGACCCCAAGAGGTGGCAGATTGGGGAGGGGTACGGGGTACAAGGCCTCTGGGGGACAGGGCAGTCCCACATTTGCACTCAGATAAACCAGGTGAAACTGGGGAGCAAGACAGACCTCGAAACCCAGGGTCCCAGTGTGGGAAAATAAAGATTCAAAACACTGATTGAAAACACCTGTGGGGGGTTGAGGTGCCAGGAGAAACTCCCAGCCTCACAGGAGAGTTTGTTAGAGAGACCCACAGGGTCCTAGAAAATATACAAGCCCACCCACCCAGGAATTGGCACCAGAAGAGCCCAGTTTGCTTGTGGGAAGAGGGGGAAGTGACTAAAAGCTGGCAGAGAGTGGGGCAAGCGCCATTGTTCCCTCTTGGCCCCACCCCCACATACAGCGTCACAACCCACGCTACTGGCTTGCCTGCCCTGGGGAATACCTAAGGCTCTGCTCCTCACTACATAACAGGTGCATCAAGACAAAAAAAATGGCCCAAACAAAGAACAGATCCAAGCTCCAGAAAAAATACAATTAAGCATCGAAGAGATCGCCAGCGTATCAGATGCACAGTTCAAAACACTGGAGATCAGGATGCTCACAGAATCGATTGAATTTGGTTGCAAATTAGATGAAAAAATGGAGGCTATGCTAAATGAAATAAAGGAAAATATACAGGGAACCAATAGTGTTGAAAAGGAAACTGGGACTCAAATCAATAGTATGGACCAGAAGAAAGAAAGAAACATCCAATCAGAAAAGAATAGAGATCCATTTTTAGTTTTTTTTAGAAAATTCCATACTGTTTTCCACAGTGGTTGTGCCAGTCTGCAATCCCACCAACACTGGATTAGGGTCCCCTCTTTTCCACAGCCTCTCTAACACTTGTTGTTTGTTGCTTTGTTTATGATGGCCATTCTGACCGGAAGCAACCTAGGTGCCCATCAGTAAATGAATGTATCAAAAAATTATGGTACATATACACAATGGCCTTCTATGTAGCAGAAAGAAAGAAGGAGCTCCTACCCTTTGCAACAGCATGGATGGAACTGGAAAGCATTATGCTGAGTGAAATAAGCCACATGTTGAAAGACTAATACCATATGATCTCACCTTTAGCAGGAAGCTAAACAACAAAACAAACAAGCAAGCAAAATAAAAACAAAGACACTGAAATAGAGAACAAGGGGACTGTGACCAGAGGGGAGAGGGGAGGGAATTTCAGGGGGAAAAGGGGAAGGATTTACAGGAATTAGTATAAAGGACACATGAACAACAACTAAGGGGGGTGGAAATGGGAGGGAGGTAGGAAGTACTGGGGGGGGTGGCCTGAGATGGGAGTAAAAAACAGAAAACTGTACTTGAACAATAATTAAATAAATTTAAAAAGAAAAGAATAAAGGAACAAGAATTCAAAAAAGGAAGAGAGGCTTAGGCCATCTTTAAATGTTCCAACATCTTAGTTATAGGGGTACCAGAAGGGGAAGAAGAAAAGCAACAAGTGGAAAAGTTATTTGAACAAATAATAAAGGAGAACTTCCCCATTCTGGCAAAGGAAATAGACTTCCAGGAAGTCCAGGAAGCTCAGAGAGTCCCAAAGAAGTTGGACCCAAGGAGGAACACAATAAGGCACACCATAATTATCTTAGCCAAGATTAAAGATAGGGAGAGAATCTTAAAAGTAGCAAGACAAAAGGAGACAGTTACCTACAAAGGAGTTCCCATCAGACTGTCAGCGGATTTCTCAAAAGAGACCTTACAGGCAAGAAGGGGCTAGAAAGAAGTATTCCAAGTCATGAAAGGCAAGGACCTACATCCAAGATTGCTCTATCCAGCAAAGCTTTCATTTAGAATGGAAGGGCAGATAAAGTGCTTCTCAGATAAAGTCAAGTTAAAGGAGTTCATCATCACCAAGCCCTTATTATATGAAATGTTAAAGGGACTTATCTAAGAAAAAGAAGATAAAAAACGTACAGTAAAATGGCAGCAAACTCACAATTATTAACAACCACACCTAAAACATCAACAAAAACAAACTAA